TTACATTTTTTGAGCCAATGAAAATGTTCAAACTTTTTGTTACAAAAATATTTTTGACATAATTCATTAAATGTAATGAAACCAAATACCTTCGCTTTTTTGCATTGACAGGAGTTTTATTTTCTCCTTGATTGGGCTTGATTCAAAGCTTGATGCTAGTTATATAATATATTTAGTCTTTCAAAGATATCGGCTAAATAACTCACACGTACTTTTCCATTAACTGTTAACAGGTACTTCATTTCAGGCTTCTCCGTGAACAATTCACCCGGAGTATCAATTAGTTCCTTAAATCTTTTCAAGCACTTCCCTTTCGAAGCCACCTTACTTCAATGTCTCACAAGCTCTGCATTTGTTCTTCACAAAATAACTTTAAGAGACGCTCACATTTGGCATTAGCTTTAATAGCATTGATACACTTTATAACTGAATTTAATACTTCATTGAGATCAGTTGAAATAGGTTTAGCTATACCAAGTTTTCCCTATGAATAACACAATGAACTAAGAAGCATTTCTGGATTCCCAGTCTTAATCAATTTTGAGCAGCGATTTTTCTTGCCCATCATATTAGGAGCACTATCTGAAGCACAAGATATTATATTTTTCATTGGTATATTAGTGACCTTAAGTAATAAAGCTTATTGATATATCTAGAGATCGTTGGCAGTGGTGGCGCTTTCAAGTGATTTACAGAACATCATTCATTTCTCAGCAAAATCTCCTTCTATCAAAATATTTTACGAATTGACCCCCCCCCCTTAACACTCAAATTGCCCACCCTGCGTGAGTCCCACGTTGGGAAACACCATTCTAGAGGGTGGGAGTTCGATTTCTGCCTAATCCTGACCTTTTTTTTTTTTTAAAAATATTTTACGAATTGACCCCCCCCCCCTTCACACTCAAATTGCCCACCCTTCGTGAGTCCCACCTTGGGAAACACCATTCTAGAGGGTGGGAGTTCGATTTCTGCCTAATCCTGCCCTTTTTTTTTTTTCTCCAAACAAAATCCCCCCTCCCCCATAAACTATATAATAAAATATTGAGTAAATATTGTTTTGTTTCTTTCCCAAATTAACTTTGTTACCTGGACAAATCGAAAAGTAAGCGGGGTGGGGTATTTTATTTCTCTACCAAAACTCAAAGTGGAACCAACCCCTTCCTCTCCCCCACCCCTCCCTGATTTATATACAAGTATCCTTACAAAACCTGCGCTCTTCTTCAAGACAGTCCTTATTGAGATATCCCAGTGTCGATGGACATACGAGGGCGCTCTTTTGAAGCTATTGCGCCTAAATTATGGAACAGTTTGTCTCAATCTTTGAGGGAAATTTAAAATGATAAAAAGTCATTTAAGAAACAATTTAAAGACTTTTTTTCTTTAAATAGATTTTAAGACATCTTTAGAGAGATGTGAGCAGGGCAAAATAGTAAAAGCATTATAAAAGTAGTCAATCATCATCACCCCCTGTGTAGAGGCACATACAACAAACAATTCAATGAGTAAAGATGAAGGAACGGACACATAATACCTTTCAATCAAAGTAATAAACCTACATATCTTTCATTTAACATAAACATACCTATTAGCTTGCAATTAACATAACATAGGTACATAATGCCTTTCAATCAGCATACCTATACTAATAACTAATACCTTTCAAGCAATATAACATACCTAATTCTAATACCTTTAAATCAACATAACATACAATACCTTTCAATCAACATAGCATCAACTTTTACTTTAGCGGATCATTACCTATTGCCTATTGTATTTTCTTTCTTTTTCCATGTGGGTTCCATGTTAGGCATTGTCTGGTGGTGCAATCTGGGGGTTTTCGGAGCGTACGCCCTATCCACATCCACTTTTTCTTTATATCTTCATCAATGGGCACCTGGTGTGTCCTTTCTAGTAGATCTTTGTTTTTGATAGTATTTGGCCATTTGATTTTCAGGATATTTCTAAGGCATGTGTTTATGAATGTCTGCACTTTCTGTTTAAGGCTCACTGTTGTTTTCCAAGTTACTGCACCATATAGTAGGACTGTTTTGACATTTGTATTAAAGATTCTGACTTTGGTTTGCAGTTTCAGCTCCTTTGACTCCAATATTTTCTTTAATAGTCAAATGCTGATCTAGCTTTTCCAATTCTGGCCCTTACGTCAGCATTAGATCCGCCATTTATGTCTATTGTGCTGCCTAAGTATGTGAAGGTCTCCACTTCTTCCAGTGCCTTTCCTGCCAGACAGATATGCTCATGGTTGGATGAGTTTACCTTCATGATTTTTATCTTGCTTTTATTTATATTGAGACCAAGCTGTGCTGAAAAGGTGGCTACGTCTTTTGACTTTTCCTGCATTTGTTGCTGGTTGTGGGACAAAAGTGCAATGTCGTCTGCAAAGTCTAAATCATTCAGTTGTTCCCAGAGTGTCCACTGTATCCCATTCCTCTTTTTGTCAATGGATTTTTTCATTATCCAGTCAATGGCAAGGATGAATAGAAATGGGGACAAGAGGAATGCTTGTCTGACTCCTGTTTCGACTGTAAAGGAATCTGTGAGTCTACCTTCGTGGACCACCCTGCATGTCATTTCTTCACAAGAGCTCTGAATGATCCTGACTAGTTTCCCTGGTGGTACTCCATAGTGCCGAAGAAGTTTCTACAAAGTTTGTCGGTCCAGGTATTTTCAAGCTGACCATAATTTATTTGATGGATAAACCTTGTAAAAAAATATTTTCTTATAAAGTAACTTTCAGTCAGATACGGTACTTGTATGGTCTATTTCTGAGGCATTAATTCAAGTTAGTATGTATTAATTAATTTAAAAACCTATTTTTTATTCTCTAATAGTATATTTTATAACATTGGGAAATATTTTGGCAAAAATTTAGGAATTTTTAAAAAAAGTGAGTGGTAGGTCTGATTTAATTACTCTAAATAATTTTAGACAGCAAAATGGTCTCTAAATTAAAATATTCTTCATATATTTTTTTAATCAATGATTTGTCCTTTTCAGATTTAAGTCTGTTAAGCATGAAAAAATAAATATATACAATCATTGTGAAGATAAAGCTGCGCCCCAGGAGAAGCTTGAAAATGGCCATCCCACTCATTTTATCAATAAAACATTAAATGATACAGGCAGTGGCGTAGCTAGACATTGTGCTGCCCGGGGTGGACTATTAGGGTGAGGGATATCACAGAGTCCATCCAATGAAAAGATTTGATAAATGAAAAATGCAGGGATGCATGTTGACGAATACCTGAAATTAAGTGTTTTTTTAATCCTTTTTTTTTTTTACACTTAATTGAAGAGCAACAGAAGAGATGCTAGGAAATTTAAGTGTCCCTGGTTGTGTGCTTATTAAGTTATTTGTATTAACATAATCAGGGTTAGGGACACCTTAATAATTTCTTTACTTTTATATTAAAGTATGAATCTAAAAATAGTTTCATATTTTAATGCATAAGTCATTATTTCTTTCATTATGCTTTAATTCTACTTCATTGCAATTAATAGTTTGAATGAAGTTGTACAAAAAAAGATAGTCTTTACAATATTTATGGAATAATTATCCATGCTAATGTTTGATTTACAAAGTTTAAAGCAAATTATCCATGCTAATGTTTGATTTACAAAGTTTAAAGCAATCACATTTAGCAATGACAAATTCAGTTTTGTCTTGCACATAAAGTGCCAACTTTAGTTACAGGGGGTGTCTTAACATTTTTGTCCTCATAATGACGAGGAGAAGCCTATGGAAGGATTGCAGCTTTGCACAACTATTTGCTGCTTTTCTCTTGTGACACCTGGCTTGCTTTTTTATTTTCCAGTTCATTTTGCTATTGCTCTCTTAAATACAAGTATACATGTCATCTGTTCTCTCAAGGACCTTTGTAACACACAGAGAAATGCACATGAATACTAAGTAGATATTAGTATTCACAGCACCCCAGATGTTTGGTTCCTTGCTTGCTGCCACCAATGAATGAGGTTTAAGAATGTGTTTGAAATGTTTGACTGTGTTATATTGTGTTTCATAATATCTAATTATACACCAGGGGTTGAGCCATACTGCGTACAATATGCTAGACCCGCAACTCCTAACCTTTTTAATTTTCATTTTTGAGTTCCCCACCACACTATATTGAAGGTGAAATACCATAGTTTCTCATGCATGGTTAAAAACAAAAAAAAATTGCTACGGTCTAATTATGAAAGGGCAATTGTTTAGCTCTGTTGAAGGGATAGTCATGTATATTAATATTATATATATATATTTTTTTTAGTAAATGAGATGGTTTCAGAGATACCGGTAACCATTAAGATGAAAATGTGCAATTCAGTGTTGGCTACTCAAGTGATCACCCAATGAAGCCAACTTCAATATACTGTAAGGCAGAGAGCAGGTCTCCGCACCTAATCCAAATTTTTAAAAATTTACATAAAGATTCATTTTTATTTCAATTAAAAGTTAACATTTTTGTTGGTAAGCTTTCCCCATTTTTTTGTCAACGCAAGTTATTTTTTGGGCGGACTTAATGACTTCAATACTATAGAATCATTAAGCATAGGATAATTGTATCCCAAACTTACAGCGTCTGGGAACATCTTTCAATAAATGACAGGTTGTGAATAGGAATCATGTTGATTTTGATTACCTAGTGCTATTGCCAGGGTAAACACATAATCCCCCCCCCCCACCCAGTTCTTAGGATGGTGAGAATACTTAACTAATACAACTTTCCAAAACCTCATTCTGTCATGTAAGTAGGTTTACTTCTTTTAGTAAGAGAATCTTTAATTGGTATGGATTCCTATCAAGTTAATGTTCATTTTGAAATGAGATAACCTGGGTAAGTATTAATTACAGCAATAACATATGCTAATATATTGACAGGGAGTGGCAGTGTTCATCCCCAGTGAATTTTCTGCTCCAGGATTATTTTCATATAAGTTTAACTTCAATCATTCAGGAAATAAAACAAAGAAAGTTATTAAAGAAAAGAATTCATGTTTATTTGTTCCTTACCCCCACTATTCAAAATTTCTTCTCTATAATAAAATTTTACACAGGAAGATTGTGGAATGCAATTTTCAAATGGTAAACCAAATGAACACTAATTTTTTTTTAAATTCTTGATCCAAGAAAAATAGTCCTAAAAGAGTAGTATAAAATTTTTAAATAAGACAAGAAAACAAAATGGGGGATAATGCTGGAGACAAATTTAGTATTCTTCTCCTTCTTCTCCTCCCTCAGCTTCAACTGAATCAACTCCAACCTCTTCATAATCTTTCTCCAGGGCAGCCAAATCTTCACGTGCTTCAGAGAACTCACCCTCCTCCATACCTTCACCAACATACCTGCAGAAAATAAATGCATTACCAATATGTTTTCATAATCTTATCAAAGCATATAAAAAAAAGGTTTGACTTAGACTAGAGTTTGGCAGAAGAGCCACATTATAGATTGGGAGAGTAAATGTGCACATGACACAAAAGATTTCACTTCCAATACTCTTATTGTCGAAAGCGTCTGGTAGCTTTATGAATCAAAGCCTTAACTCAGACTAATGGTATCTGAAAGAAAATGTACTCCTTACCAGTGAACAAAAGCCCTCTTGGCATACATGAGGTCAAACTTGTGGTCAAGTCTAGCCCATGCCTCTGCGATGGCAGTTGTGTTGCTCAACATACACACAGCCCGTTGTACTTTGGCCAGATCACCCCCAGGAACAACAGTTGGAGGCTGATAGTTAATGCCAACCTGATGAGCAAACAAATTTCTCATAATGAAATATATATATATATATTTTTTTACAAATATTAGTGCAACTTTAAATAGGTATTCTAAATAAGCTGGCGAAATTTACGCTGCGGGGAGAAAATTTATTTTTTGGTTGGGTCGCGCCAGCTCGTTGCGATAATGTATCGTTATACCTGTGCGTTCAGTGACAACTGATCTAGAAAGTAGAAAAGTAGTTCTTTAATATGATGTATTTTTTGGAGCTGTAAACTGTAAATTAATGCTAAATAACGATTTTAACACAAAAATTGCGTTTTCTATGTGAAAAAAATCACTTTACGGCTCTCAAAATTTACTATAAAATTGTTATAATTCCACGAACCCCCCATATACGATATCATTGCGCAAACGCTTGGAACCAAGTCAACCCCGCCACGGCGAACTCGGATCGGTCAAAGCAATATGCGATGACAAATTTTATCTACGATCTTCTTAAATTGAGTGCCTTTTCATGGATTTTAAACTGAAATAGGTAAGTTAAAACATTGTTTCGTTTGGGAATGTTTAAATTATATAGAAAGCTTATTTCATAAATTTGTTAATTTAGTGTGGGCTTATCGATAACTAATGCGTGTTTCTTACGCCTAGTGAAAAATGAAGATCAAGCTTTATTTGAAAATCATCTGTATTTATTTTACAATAGCGGAGAAAATAAAGGAAACTGTATGTAATTAGTTCAATGAAATGTTTAAATATTTAATGATGTTTATTTTGTAGCTATGCAATTTGTTTGGAAACTGCAGTAAATCATTGAACTCGGATAATATAGTCGATTCGAGCGAAGCATTCATGTTGGGTCGAAGCATTATTGTCGCGAGGGTGAACGGGATGCTTTAATTTTAGTGGAGTTCATTTTTAAACTAGAAATTCGATAACTAATCCATTTTATCAATTAAGTTATATGGTATGATCCATTAGAAAGTGTTGCAACGTTAATTATTATTCTTTTTCTAAGTTATAAAGCTAGTTTTAAAAATTAGTTACCGGTACCTAGTGTTTCACTCCTTTCGTAAATGTCCGATTCCAAAATTAACCTTACTCAAAACTTACCACTTTGCTTTACTATTGTTATAAATTATATACGGTGTATGCATATTTATGTGTTTTAATTTTAACATTTCATATTTCAGTGGATTAAACTGAAAACATCTTAAGACCTTGAGTGAGACAGATACCATTACAAAAGAACGAGATGACTCAGACCACTTCAAAACAGAATGTCAGTATTGTCATCAGTCAACAACATATTAGCATAGGCCATGTAACAGTACAGGTTAGTAGTACCCCTTGTAATATCATTAGTTTTATGTGCATTTTGTTATTATACTGATAGTAATGACATGATCATAAATGCTAAGTTGATGACTATTACAATAATATTATAAATACAATTTAAAATAAATGGAAATTAAACAAAATATTCTTTTCACAGATTGTTGGTGTATATGTACGGAAATTTGTCATTAAACCAGTGTAGGGAGGTGTCTCAAGACCCATACAGACATGCAAATAAAGGCAACAAATTGACTTTCAATACTAATTCAGAGTTAATTATTTTTCCGACAAATTTTCCAGAACTTTTAAAAATACATATATAATATTAACGTTTTTTAAGGTGCTGGAAATTATAAATTTTCAGTGCAAAAATACTATACAAAAATAATATTTCTTGAGCAGAATTTTGTTTCCTAAACTTCAGCCTGTTGCTTTATTATTAAAAAGATTAACATTTTCTACAATACTGTGTAAAATTTGTTAAGATATCTTGCCTCGTTAATTTTTTATGAATTTTTAAAAATCGATGAAATTCTTAGCTTTTGTGTACATGCCTTGCTGAAATAATTTATGTAAATTCTTTTTTTGGTTTCACCATATGCCTGATGATTTCACATTGTTGTGCTTTAAATTACCTTTTACTTGACTCCTGTATATTTACAATAGCTTGATTAATTGATTTTTTATGATTTTTTGAAAATGAACTAAAATTGACTTTTTGTCTCCCTTTTAATATTTGTAAAATTGAGCTTCGGCTCAATTTTGAATGAATAAAAAATGTATTTACATTTTAGTGACAACGCTGAAAAAAATTGAGTTTGTTATATGTATAACTGGTTGTGTGTGCAAGAGATTTGAAAGTTCTAACTTAGTTATTTTAGAAGATAGCGGGTGTCAAAACTACACTTTCCTGGCGTCTAAAAATTGACCCTGTTCTTGATTTTTTTAAAATTAATAACTTTTTTAATTTTGGAGATAGAGTTAAATTTTGTGGTTCTGTTTTGATGAAGCCAAGCTCTATTTAGAGGAATAGTTCAATTTTATTTAATTTCATTATGAAATTTTCATTTAGAATACCTACTTTAAACAACTAATTGACAAAGTATTGACAAAGTCGCTTAAAACTATTAAAACCAAGACATATGGTAAATGGAAAGGCTCTTACTTTAAAGCCAGTTGGGCACCAATCAACAAATTGGATGGTCCTCTTGGTCTTGATGGTAGCAATGGCTGCATTGACATCCTTAGGGACAACATCACCGCGGTACAACATGCAGCAGGCCATGTACTTGCCATGACGTGGATCACACTTAACCATCTGATTGGCTGGTTCAAAGCAGGCATTGGTAATCTCGGCAACTGAAAGCTGCTCATGGTAGGCCTAAACAATATAAATTTATTAATTATTAGAGATATGAATAGTACATATTGAGCCGGATAGATAAAAGCTTACAGACTTAGCTTGATAAACAAAGCCTGAGGTAAATAAAATTTTAAGATCTTAAAGTTATCAGGTGTAACATTGACCCAAAAATCTAATCCTTTCAGTAGCGTAGCACCCTTTAACCCTGTCAGTTGCGTAATGGCGAAATACGGCCGTAATGCACATTTTCAACGTTGCCTAGTACTTGTAAAGGTAACAGCCTTAAGGATTTACAAAGAGTCTATATAAAGAGGAAGAGGGAAGCTCTTATTTTTGGGGGGTTTGTTGGTTGGGCGCTTGACTTAACGCTACTTTCGACTTTTTATATACAGACCTTGTTACACTGGGACTCCCAAAACAGTACAATATATTCTCAGAATAATACTTTACCATCAACATTTTGATATCCCAGATGGGTCAGAGTAGAAGTTGGTGATAGATCTGAGTGGTTTAACCCATTGTGTTCAAGTGATATTGAAGAATTTAGGGTGTAACTGGTCCTCAACTTACAGATATTAAAATTCTATCATTTCTTTACATTACATTTATCAGCATATTATTTTTTTTTGTTGACAGGATGAAAGATTGATTTGTAATACATTTATAAAGTAAGCAAATTAATGGTAAAAATTAAGTTATTCCCCTTTGCTTGGTACTGAAGTAAATTTCTTGATGGGTGCTACAGTACCATGTACTGCTACTGAAAGGTTTTAAGAGATTTTTTTAAAACGTGTAAATACCTTCTCAGCTGAAATGACAGGAGCATACGTAGCCAGGGGGAAATGAATGCGAGGATATGGCACCAAGTTAGTCTGGAACTCTGTCAGATCAACATTGAGTGCACCATCAAACCTAGACAATGAAGGATAATCAAAAAGTTGTTAAAATAAAGAAAACGGTCAATAGATTTTAAGATACATTATAATTTAAATAAAGCAATAGTACTAACTACAGTGGAATGGCATCATAGTGATTACCTGAGGGAGGCAGTAATGGAAGAGACAATCTGGCCAATCAGTCTGTTCAGATTAGTGTAAGAAGGTCGTTCAATGTCTAGATTTCTGCGGCAGATGTCGTAAATGGCTTCATTGTCAACCATGAATGCACAGTCTGAGTGTTCCAGAGTGGTATGGGTTGTCAAGATGGAATTGTAGGGTTCAACAACAGCAGTGGACACCTGCAGTGTTTAACATTTTTTTTAAATACATTGCCTATATTTAAATTAAATTTTTAAGCATAGAAAGGTAAAGGAATATTTTTTATTTAAATTAAGTTAACTATAAATAAAATGTCAATTATAAACTCCCATTTAGGCCTGCTCATTTATACCTGTGGTGCTGGATATACAGAAAACTCCAGCTTGGATTTCTTGCCATAGTCAACAGATAGACGTTCCATTAGTAGAGAAGTGAAGCCAGATCCAGTGCCACCACCAAAGCTAAGGACAAAGATAGTTGATAAAATCAAATGCATGACACATAGTCTTGTTCTCAATAGTTACAATTTTAGCAGAAGGCTACTAAATTAATACTCAGATAATGGAGGCAAAAATGTGCCCAGAATTAGTGTACTTGTGGAATAGCGTACCTGTGGAAGATGAGGAAGCCCTGAAGTCCAGTGCATTGATCAGCAAGCTTGCGGATACGGTCTAGAACTAGATCAATAAGTTCTTTGCCAACAGTGTAATGACCACGAGCGTAGTTGTTGGCTGCGTCTTCTTTGCCTGTAATGAGCTGCTCTGGGTGAAACAGCTGCCTATAGATACCAGTACGAACTTCATCTGTGAAAGTGGAATGTAACAAAGATTAACAGAATAATTCATTGCTCCCTTGATGCCGTGATAGGTAACGTACAGCAATTTTTAAAAAGTGCAACATACCGACTACAGTGGGTTCAAGGTCTACAAAAATAGCCCTAGGCACATGTTTTCCAGATCCTGTTTCGCTGAAGAAGGTGTTGAAGGAGTCATCTCCACCTCCAATAGTTTTATCAGACGGCATCTGTCCATCGGGCTGAAATGAAAAAGGTGAAACATGTTTCACGTTAGTTATTTTCATGCTCCTTGTTTTGCCATTAGGTCAAATGTCCCTCTAATCCCCACTCCCAGCTACAAACAGACAAGTGCTAAATAAAATATTGATTATTTTACCTGGATACCATGCTCCAAACAATAGAGTTCCCAGCAGGCATTGCCCATCTGAACACCAGCTTGACCGACATGGATGGAGATGCACTCACGCTAGAAATGATAAAACGTAAATGTAAGTTAATGACAAATTGTAAACAAGAAAACGGCCAAGGCCAAGGATTAATAAACTGCGTGCAATTGCAGAGTGCCTAAATAATATTCAACGTTTTTAAAAATACATTTGAAGGAAGATAAATGAATAATAAATATTAGGCCTACCAGTAACAGTGCTTTATTATCAGCCTACTCATATTGAATTATAGGGGCCTGATAAGTACAGGCTAGTCATAATATTGATTAACTAGCTTTATTATATGATGAGTGATGACTAATAACTTGTTAATTTTGGAAGCCAGATGTCCCTGGTGAATAATTTTATTTATGGGGGGTGGGGGTGTAATAGCAGCTGAAAAAAAAAAAAAAAAAAAAAATTATTATTATGGTCTCAATCTGTAACTTGATGGTAAATCTTGAATGTTTTATACTTAATTTTATAGTCAAAGTAACATTATGACATGATTATATTTAGGCAGGAAAAGTACAAAGATAATGATAAAGGATGATAGGACATTGATTAATGATTGGTGGCCATTCATAACTGTCCGATTTGTTAACACCCCTCTCCCCCAAACGTTTCTTCTCTCAAATTTGTAAAAAAAAAATTTTTTTAAATAAATTCGTGGACCTCTCCCCCCCCCTCCCCAACCCACTAACCTTTTCCCCCCATTTATAGGGTATAACTGGCCAAGCAAATGATTAATAATGGAACTTAAGGATTAAGACTAAACTAGAAAAAGGTGTGCTGTTCTAAAACCAAGGCCAACAGTCACTGGGTTATTATAATTTATATTAGGGTAGACTGGACCCAGTTCAACTTTTCCTTGTTCCGCTATCTGGGGAGAAGCGGGAGTGTAAAGATGGCCGTAATGGATGACTCACCACAGCCCGTCTAGACGTCAACGTGCAGCAGACCACCCCAACTAATTAACATATTACATGGGTGCCCAGAGTCTCTGTCAGTGACACAAACTAACTATTGGTGACAATCACGTTAAAAAAAGTCACATTTCACATGTTCAGTGATAAATATCACCGCATAAGAACAGCACTGAATCGATGTCAAAGTCAAGGAGTCCACTACGAGTACGAGAGACCCTATAATCCCCTGCCTAAAATACAGTCGTCAGTCGTAGTACAGAGTGTAGGCATAATTAACATAAAGTGGGCGTGGTCATTATAGTCACGAGGGACCATCTTAATTGGTCGTCTTTTCCCGACAACAAAATATTTTTAAATGGTGAACTTGATGTAGGCCCATTAACATTATGATGTACCGTGTTATTTTTCAACATCGTTCGATCATAAGGAAATGAAGGCCGGCAAAAATAGATAAAAATGGCTCAACCGATGCTCAAACAACGCACGTCTATATAGCCTTTTAAGACCCAAAAAATTACAAAATTATGAGAAATTATTTTTTAACTTACCATTTTGTTGATTGGTAATGTTCAGTTTTCAGCAAATAGGGGTTAAAAGTGTTGAAATTACTTTGACAAACTCTCAAACGCGACTTGAGGAGTCTAGATGAGAGGAAGTAAATTAATGCGCCGGCGACGTGCGATGCCTTTTATACCGGTGATGCTGGCGGTTTTTAAATCCCCCATCTGAACCCGTGCTTGTCATTGGTCGGGAGGAGTATTAATTATTCATGAGGACATGGCCGCCCTCGCAACTGTTCTCTCACTTTCAGTGATTACTCATCACCTGCGACTCGTCATTAAAATGACTTCGGGAGGCCTGTTCTGTTTGCGCCAGAGAAACTTTCTGGAGCTGCCTGACCGACAGCAAACAGTGAAGATTAAACTCTCCCCCTCTCACCGACACACACACTCACACACGCATCTTTTTAGCACATTTCGTCATCTATTCCTTTTAGCCTTATTCAAATTCAACTTTTAGAAAATGAAAATGATGGACCAATATAACTGAGTATCATTGCGTAATGACCATTATCAGTGAGTATAAGTATCGACCTATGAAGTAAAAAAATAATTAATTGCGGCCAAGGATTAGTAGGTCGTAGTCGTAGGCATTTCCAGGGGCAGGGGCGACCATTAGGATGTGCCAACCCGGGCGGACCTAACCCTCCACAGCACACTCCTATGCCAATGGAAAAGGGGTTAGCGCAGGGGTGCAAATCGACAAGCGGACAAAGAATGTTTATACTAAGTTATACTTAAAAGGAACATACGACATACTTTTTTTAAACTAAATTATAAGTTATCTTGGGGGAAACCATAAATGACGCAAAGCTATTCTTGAAGATTTTTTAAACACCTCCCCTTAACAATTTTGTTTAAATCATAAGGCCCACAACCTTGACATAAAACGTAGCCTAATTGAAGCATCGTCACAAATTCGTGACCTCCCAGCCTCCCCCATCCCCTACAAAGACCTACCCGTGACATCATTTTTAAAACATTTGTTAAATAAGAAAATGCTGGGCCCCGTGTTTCACTTCAGTTTATTTTTAATCATTTTTATTGAAAATTTCAGCGAAATATTTCGGTGCAAAGTTGGAATTTATTAAAATCGCCACTAAATGCCACCTGGGGCCAACTCCCAAAAGTACACAGGCCTACATCATTTCTATAATTTATAATGAAGTGCAACCCATAAGTGCCACCAGAGGCGGTGCTCCTCTTCACACCCCCTAGGTACGCCACTGATAAAAACAATCACAGCACTATTGCAGTCAAACTCAAATTGAAATATTGATTGAAATCTCGTCCCTGGACCATATTTCTGTAAAATACGATTTATGAAAGTTAACATGCATGCACGAATTTCTCATCCTTTTTTGCATTAAATGAATGATTACGTCTTTACCTCAAATTAAGGGATAGTCTCCCCATACATAAAATTGTTGCTAACAGAAATGCCACCCAACCCCCATTTTTTCTCCAGAACCTATTTCAGTCAAAGTGGTATATTTTCTAATAGACTGAAATTGTAATAATTGTATATTTCTTCTCCAGCCGCCTTGCTTTGCCCCTAAATGTTCCCAAATATTTTGCGGTAGAGAATTATGCCATTGATGCATGTTATTCTTTAAAGCTGAAAATCTCAATTTTCAGTCAAGCTTTGAATGTATTATACTGGTACTAAAAAGTAACATACTCCCTACTTTTATACAAACTCCATGAAATGCTTTCATCAACAATAAAAAAAAAAATTACAAAAAATTTAAAAAAAACAACCTCCCCATCCAAAAGAAACAAAACAAAAAATATTGAATTTGAGGAATTTTAATTTAAAAATTCTTGTGTTCATTGATTATGGATCTCTAGTATTGCAGAAATCAAATGCAAAGTCAAGTAGTGTAATAACATTGTCATAATTTAAAAACTGTAACTTCTTTTGTAAGATACCCATTACAAATAATAAATACTGTTTGAATGGGACATCTTATTTAAATGAGGACACCATTCATACTTCACACATTGTGACTATATCTTGTATATCACAAAGCTTAACAGCAGACTTCAAACACGTAGTGTAGACAGTTTGTTTTATCTTTCATAATAAAACTTGATGTAAGAATCCTGAAGGTCATTCCATGTTTCCAGAGGCTGTGAATAGTTAAACGGTTTGGGGTTGTTGATTTTTTTTAGGTGTGTGAAAATGAAATATGGAAAAATTAAAGATTGCAATGAAAAAAAGTTGGAACAATGTCAAACTTCACAAATATAGGACAATTCAGAATATTGTTAACTGATAATGTTTAATCCTAAAAAGTTAGGTTTTATCATGTTTATTGCTTTTGACAAGGCAATGTGATTTTGAATTGTCGTGTCATAAGGCAGGTAATAAGGTCTATTTCATCCAAAGAAAAAGTCCACTAATGGATATCTATGCATTGAAGTCCACTAATGGATATCTATGCATTGAATTCCCTGATTATTTATAATTTTAATAACATGTTCAGCAAAAAAGCTTTTCAAACGCCCTAAATAACATCAAAGTGAATTTAGCCTAAAAGACTTTTCTTAGCGAGGAAGACAAGGACGTGTTTATGATCTGAACGGTTTTGGAAAGAGATTCCAACAGAAGTGAAGGTTTGAAAAGATGCCGGTATTGTTAGTTGAAAAGGAGTTGAAAAGGCACTGGAGAAGAAGGGGTAATAAGGGGAGAGACTGCAATCAGGTTAGTACAAAATAAAATGAGTAAAACAGAGTAGGGTTTCACGTTTAACCCTACTCTGTTTAACTCATTTTATTTTTCACTGAAGAAGAAGCTGCCCATTTTAAAGATATGAGTTATGATTTCATGCTGAGTTATGATTTCATGCTGAGTTATGATTTCATACTGAAACTATCTTAAACTACGGTTTAAGAAAACCAGATATAATTTACATCTAAACTTTCTTCATAATTGCATACGCCTCCATATTATAACCCGACGGCTGGCTCTCTTAACTCGGACGACCAGGTCAAAGTTCAATCACTTGAGAAGAAAATATCAGTTCAACGTATGCATATTTTTTGTAAACGGTCGTAAACATCTCATCACCAATCTCAGTGCCACCATTCACCTACTTGAAGATCACATTCTCTATAAGACCTCCAATAACCGCTTATCCTATGATCTTATTAGAACTATTGTCTACCAACTCAACTGTGAATTATTCGCTTCCTTTCTACTAGCAAAAAGAAAAAACTCTACAACCTTAAGACCACCAATAGATTAACACCACATCAAACAGTCACCAGTAACAAATTGGTCGCATGCATCTGCGCTGACCTCACACTCTCTGATGACGAAAGATGGCTTCTCTCTAAAGGTCTCTTTTTCCTCCTCAAACTAACTTGTGATCGCTACTAACTACTTTTGATTCCCACCGCTTCTTTCGTTCCTTGGGACTTTCAGTTTCACTTTGCTGGGAAAAAGAACACCCTCCTTGATGATGAGTTATTCCCGTTCATAGAGAACTGAAATCTAATTGGACACCACTATCTAACCAATCCAAGGCTTTAGACCGGTTCTTCAGTAGCACGGAACATGACCACAAGAACCTCCCTTTGCCTCCACTCTTTCAAAAAAGAGAATCGAAGGCACTCTCTAAGCTGCATAGCCAGAAAGATACTATCATCAAACCCGCTGACAAAGGTGTTTTAAAAACATTTGAATCCATCATCATCCCTCCTGAAAAGAAACATCATCTATTTCTGCTTGATGTATGTTCTCTACATACTTCAAGATTCTTTCTTGAGAGTAAACCCCATCCATCTATACCTAACAACACCCTCATCCAACTAGCTGAAATTCTTCTCACCCTCAATTTTTTTGAGTTTAGTGGCCAATTCTTTGACCAAACCAGTGGTGTTGCTATAGGGACTAAAATGGGACCCAGCTGCCCATGTTTGTTCAGGGACATTTCAAACACATGGTAGAAAGCAGCTGCACTGGACACCTCCCTGAATTCTTCAAAAGGTACATTGATGATTGGGTAGGGGTCACCACTATGGTGAATAGTGAACTTGACCTATTCATTAACTTTGTTGTTGGCTCTTTTCACCTCTCCTTTAAATTCGCATCGCTGGTCTCTGAGACCTCAGTTAACATTTTGGACATAACGGTCATCCTTCACAAAGACAGCCAATCACCTCCGCCTCTGCTCTTCTTAGCACCCAAAATCCTGTAAAGGCTCAGTTCCCTTTTCTCAATTACTTTGTCTTCGTCGACTTTGAGATGATCGACTATTTCCGATGTAGGTCCTACCCAGAGACAGTACTTTCATCAGGTCCTACCTGGAGACAGAACTTTCATCATGTCCCACCCGGAGACAGTACTTTTATCAGGTCCTAACCAGAGACAGTACTTTCATCATGTCCTACCCAGAGACAGTACTTTCATTAGGTCCTACCCAGAGACAGTACTTTCATCTGGTCCTACCCAGAGACAGTACTTTCATCAGGTCCTACCCAGAGACAGTACTTTCATCAGCCCTTCAAAGGGTTAAAAATATTACCTGTGCTGATGCCTTTAGGCCATGTCCTAGTGACAATGACAGGAGCAAAATAATTTTCACATACCATCCTCACAATCTCATAGCCAAACATGTTTTCCTTTAAAACCATGCCATTCTCTTCGCCAACCCTGAAACTCAAGACATTTTCTTTCCCTGCCTCTCATTGTTTTCAGGCGCCATAAATATCAGTGTGGCCTCCTTGTGTGAAGTCGCCTCAATGCTGCCCCCTTCCAACTTGGGACCAAGCCATGTGGATGCAGCCATTGCAACACTTGCCCTTTCCTCATCCAGGCTCAATACATTCACTTCCCTTAGGGCAGTTTTCAGATAGGGACGGTTAACACCCGCGACCAGATGTCGTATATAGGTGAGACATATGCCGTAATATTTGGCAAGATAAGCAGGGTCCCTTCCTCTAAACACTTCAATAGAAGCGACCACAAGGTTTCTGAGGATTTTACTATAAGCGCAATAGTGTCCTTACAAAAACACCAAACTGAGTGAATTTGGAAAACTAGCTGATCCAGACTTATGGAACCTTGACACCACATGGCATGAATGTAATGTTCTCATTCACCTGTTAAACCTTTTCTCCGCTCCCTCCTCATTACAACCAACCACAGTGGACTTACTTTTTCTCTCTTGTGTCCCTTTTTGCCTTTATTTATTCTTTTATCTACTTATGTTCTTTCAGATTTCTCTTGCTTTCCTCTCGGATACTAAATTACAGCTATGTGTTATTTTTATTTAATTCTGTTTTTACTGTTATTTGTTTTCTGATGACAGCTTCTTGCAGACACATTCATTGTTTGTTGCATTTTTTTGTTTCAGTTTTCTTATATTTTCTTTTCACTCATTTCCTTTAATTAACAACTGAAAGGTTGGTAAAAAAAATTCCAAATATTTCTGGTCTTTTCATAATTCATTAAATTCAACTTTGGAAAAATGTTAAACACATAAGAAATTAGTAAGAGGAAGAATCTTCTTTCAATATTTTTAGCTACTGCTCCTTTGGGAATACCAGCAGTTTGAATTTTTAAAAACAAATCTTTATTTTTGCCTGAGACTCCAAGAGTAAGAGAAAAGGAATAATTAAATATGAAATAGCTTTTGTCAATTTACTTTTTCAAAAAATTAAATTTAGTACAGACCTTACAGCCAGCAGCTGATGCAAAACCTGAAATCTTTTTAACAAATTCTTTCACATTGTCTTTCTTTATGTCTAGCATAAATCTGAATCCAAGAGAGGAGATAAGTTTAATTTTTAACAATAACTAACTAGAATAAGTCAGTGATATATAAATGCACAAGACAACTTATAAATACTATGATACTAACAGATATAAAATAAAAATTAATAATTAGCTATTAGTATGACTATTTAAAATAAATTCAGTTAATTTTTCCTATCATATTCGGATGCACCATTTTTTGTTGTTGATGTTTCAAATATAAAAGGACTTATTTAAATCTTTGCAAATACTAACACATTTCTGATTTTTTTTAATCAGTCAGTTTTCATTGAGGATGGGGAAGAGTAGGAGAAAGAACCTGAGCTTTGATTTATAGACAGAATATTATAAAGTATGTATCTAAATATAAAAGAAAGAAGAACATTTAAAAAATGCATTTGCATAGAAGTATGGATTTTTAAAATAAAAGTGTACATATCAGTGGAGTCACTTTTATTTGCATCTGCTTCCTACTAACAAAATAATTACAGTTGAAAGTCAACTTACAATGCTGTCTCTAAGATAACAGAACAATTATCAGCAAAAAGTTGAGAAATTTCAGGTTTTAAATGATGAACTGAGCTGGAAATAAAAATAAAATGGAAGTAACGGCAAGGGTTAGGACTTAAGATGGTAAAATTATTATTAAGAGAAAATTACAGAAATGTTTAAATAAGGTTCTTTTTATTGATGGTTAAAAATTTATCTGAAATACTCAAGGAGAATAAAGCGAACTGGTAAAGGTATGCTAAAACAAGGCTAACATATACTAGTATTAATGCTACAGGGTACTGTGAAAAACCACCATTTCTCAACAGCATCAAGTCATTTGACTAGTTAATTAAATGTAATTTCCATGTTATTGTTAAATATCCAGTCTTTAATCACTAAAAGTTATTTTTTTAAAATTATGAGCACATGCATGATAACATTCAACTTGTATAAATAAATGTCAGAAAAGTGAATTTACCAAATGTTTAAACTAATATAAAACAATAAGGTACTATTTAATTTTTTTTACCTATTGGAAAAATATACAATATTGAATAGCCTGCTGTACTTGTTTTTCTTTACTAGTTCCTCAACAGAAGCCAAGGGAAGGAATATAATCTTGATATCATCTAAAGGGAGCCAATCTACAATTAAAAATATATAATCATATGGTATTTCTTTTTTAAATAAGATGAAAACATATACATGTTGTAAATTTAGTTTTAAAGCAAAAAAATTTGTTTTTAAAAATACCGTATTTATCGGCGTATAACAGGCATATAACACGCAGCATTCGCGCCGCTATGTGGTATGTACTATGGGTACACATCATTTGCCCCCTATTTTCAGGGGGAAAAAGTGCATGTTATACGCTGATAAATACTGTATATTGCCATTACATTTACAAAATTTAATTTTTAACATCTAGGTAGGTTTAATAGGTTTGCCCATCATAATAATTAAAATTTTATGAAATTTTTCAAATAAGTACTAATGAAACATATAATTTGTGTTCATTAATTGTGCACTATCATTTTTTTTAAATCTCTGTATTTTAAAAATACTAAAGAAAATCACAGAAAATTGCTTTATATATTTTTTTGCTAAATAGAAAATTATTAAAATGAACAAAATGCAACGGCTATAATATCTCTTTTTTTAAATTAATGAAGAATCCAGCTTTTTTTAGGTAACAGTACATGATCCTGAACAAAAATACATGTAATTTAAAGAAAGCAGTTAGTTTTCAACATTTGCTTCTAATAAAATAAAGCAACTTAATAACTTTTGAAATAGCAATGATGAACATAGTTTATAAAATAAGGATTGAGTGGAAACATTTTATCATCTTATTCTTAGTTTCAATGGAATCCTGATAAAATTACCATAGTCAGTCTTGTCATTATTTTCATTTGAGTTGTTTCCATTTGCTCCTAAACCATCTTTGTCATTCTCACTTTCAGTAAGGTCTGAGCTTTTTCCCTTTGTAGGATCTGTTTTGTTTTCTTGTTGTTCCATTTCCTCATTTTTATCTTCCTCTGCATCTTCTTCATTGATCTCTGAATAAAATATGAAAGTTGCATTTTTTTTTCCATTTTTTTTCCTGTATGGCAGGGGAGTTCATATTTTCTTTAAAGAACCTGGTTAAAATTATTGAATTGCTGTTCCTTAATTCCAACTTTCTACCAAAATATTTCATTGAAATTTTCAATAAAGATGACCTCAAAAAATACACAGAATTCAAATATACCATTTGCGTACTAAATATAGTTTTAAAAATGTAGAAATTGTAATACATTCATTGTTAATATTGAGCACCATCAATGTGGATGGTGGTAGATCAAAGTTTACTGTAAATAGTTTATTGCAAATGCCATAAGTGGCAAATCATGCACAGCATAGTCTTATGTTTTTCTTACCTTGCAGTTTGGAAGAAACGATTTCAGGCACTTCTTTAGGTAATTCAGCTTTAGGTGGTTGGTATCTTTCACCATTAGCAATTTCATACAACAAGGAGATAATATTAAATTCTGACACATCTTCGGCTGTCTGTGGATATGTTATTGAATAGTTGAGATCATTGGAATAGACATTTTTAAAATACTTTTTAAGATGAATATCAATGGAAGTTGAAAAACCTATTATAAATACCAGTATGTTTAAAAACGCCGAATGTGTTAATCCTACCTTTGTATGTGTGTTATTTTGTTTCTTGTAAAAGGATTTGTCCTCAGTTTCAATTCCAAAAGTTATATAAGGAGAGACTAACATATCTCCCCAGTAACCTCGACGAGGATATCTTTCTCCATCCTTAAAAAAAATTTGTAATTTATCACTTTCAAGAATAGCATGACAAAATGCAAAGGTACTTATGACGTTTCAAAAGTTACAATTTGGATCAAATCTTTGAAAAGTAATTTCATTCTATTTCTTTAATTCGGTTTGGAGTTACAGAGTAAATGAATAAATATTTAATTATATAATACAAGATGCAATGTTCAATGTATGTTTATGAATACTGCAAATACTTGATAGTTATACAATTTTTTTAATTTAATTTAATATACCAACAATTAGTCCCTTTTGAAAGTGTGTAACTCACCAATTTAAAAACCATTCCTGAGGCAAGGGTTCTATTAGGCACATCATAAGTCCCTTCTCTGATTTTGAATGCAACACCATCATTTCTCCAATTTTTGTATTGTCGAATATAAATTATTGAGCCCTAAGTTGTATCAGAAAAAAAAATGTGAAGATAAAAATCTATCATTGCATTTATTAATATATTTTAGGTAAAATAAATTTGAAATAATTTCTTGCACAGTTCCTCAATATAGGGCTTATGTCCCCCAGTTGGGCAATTTAAAGATTATAGTTGGACATTTAGTCTTTGGGGGAAACATATTTACGTTTCAAAAGGAGGGGAAGGTGGCAACGTTAGACTGACAGGGGTAAATTAAACCCACTTAGGTGCTGAGAGACAAAAAAGGTTTAGAAACACTAGTTTCAATAGATAGGTTTAAAAATCTCTTGTTTAAATTATACTATACAAAATAAATATTGCATCTTTTTATTGAATACAAAAAATCAATATTTTTTTTAATAAAATGAGGAATACCCCTCTTTCAATGAGCTCCATATTGTAATCCCAGTCAAAAACATTAAGTCTACTGTCATAGCGAACTCCTAAAAGTTGCCTAAGTCTCAGATCCCTGGAAAAATAGATGAAATAGTTTATGTAATGTTATTACTCTTATATTTGAAAAAAAAAGGTACAGCAAAGTACATATTTATGGTTTTATCGTTTTCTGGGACATTAATTTACATAAAATGTATATCTGAACTTACCAGCACTTAGCAATGTCAAAGGGCAGTTGCTTCTCTTTATTTCTCCAAAACTTCAAAATTCCCTCTAAAAAATCTCTTTCCTTATACTGAAATAAAAATCAATTTAAGCATTCATTTCATTTTGTAAGCTTACATTATATTAATTATTTATCCATACCAACATATCTCAAATCTATTTAGTTCTAAAAAATAAATATGTCAATTGCTACATTATCATAATTTGTATTTCTATTTCTTATAGCACATTTTATCTTATTTCCTAGGTCCTTTAATCAATTTCTTAGAGTTTGATGTTGATTTTTTTCATCTATATATCTGCTTTGTAAAACATTTGTAAAACATTTTTACTATACAGAGAACATAGTCTTTTACCTTTAGCTGCATCAGATCTAAAAAAGGAAGTTTTTTCTCCATGTAGTCAAAATCAGTGATCATTCTAGACAACAAAAAAATCTTTTTAGTGTGGTTTTATTATGTAAGCTATGTGATTGACCAAACAAAATGTAAATAAAAAACACTATGTTGTGTCATTATTTAAACTTACTTTATAATTTCATGAGACATATTCTCAACATACTGACTACTTTGCTGTCGAACTAATGTATTTCCAAACAGCTCTAAAAATAGTTCTGTTTTGTCTGTAAAAAAAGAACATCAAGCTGCAAATAAAATAATAAATTAAATCATATTTATGTATGCTTTTCCATTTTATTTTGGTTTCCTTTTAATTGTAATTTTCTTTTTAGTATGTCTTAAATAGACACAGCAGAAATTTAATATATTACATATTGCATAGTCATACCTTGCAAACCCATGTTCTGTTGTTTTTCCAGAGCAACCATCATTAATAAAATATCACGAGCATATAATTCAAGAGCTGTTTCTATGACATAAAACTAAGGAATAGAGACAAAATAAAACATAAAAGAAGAATAATTCATATAATTCATGCATCTATTTTTTTAATTAAGAATTTTTTACCTAAGTTAACACAATATTTACTTTTTAAAATGTTGGTGAACATAACAAAAAACAAACCCTGAGTTTTCTCTTGGTGTGCCTATAGCGATGAGCAACAGTTTTAAGAATATGGCGTACGTCACCAGCACCCACTATTAAAATGTTTAGCTCCTCTGAAACATAGAATGCATATAAATAAGCATTATTATTAGTCCATAACTTAAAACATCAAAATCATTTCTAGATTAAAAATATTTCCAATATGATTACAATAAGTCTATTCAAAGAATTGATGCTCCAAGATTACATCAAAGTAATCAAGCACTCATAAAAACATAATCAATGTTTTATTTTAATTTTAAAAGCTGTTTAATTTATCTTCCTTACCTGGTGCTGCACATATAAGTTTTTTGCACATTTCTTGAAACCCTATAATATGAGGGGGGGGGGGGGTAAATGTAAAAATAATTTTACCTTAAAAATTTTTAATTTATCTTCCTTACCTGGTGCTGGACATATAAGTTTTTTGCACATTTTTTGAAACCCTATAATATGAGGGGGGGGGGGTGTTAATGTCATAATTATTTTTACATAAAACAGATATATATTATGTAATTAAAATGTCATATTTTATACACCATAAAAAAATATTTGTAGGGGGGAAAAAAAAAAGGGGGGGGGGTGTTGGGGTAAGAAGCTCAGGGGGATTGGGGTTAAAAAATGTGTGGGTGCAACAGAGGCTGTTATATAAATATTATACTTTTGTGTATGGTACATAATATGTGGACGGTCTTCTTAATGCTACCTCTTGTTATTCTCAACATTAAAATAATAGTAATACATTTCAGTTTTTTATTTTGGAGTTCAAAAGAGGAGGCTTTTAAACTCCACTCTTGTTGAGTTATGTATAAACAAATGGATTTATTATATGATAATATTCAAACTTTAACTTTAACTTTAAGACAATATTATAAATTATAATTGAAAATTGGTTTAAATTACTTTAAAATTAAAGCATCATTTTTTAGTTACTGTTTTAGCCGATAATGCCACGGAAAGCCCACCACGATCAATGGGTTGGGACTTGGAAAATTTAATTTGAGTAGTTTTGTAAATTTGATTTCGATATACTCAACTGCATGAAGGATTATTTATTCATTAAGATTAATTAATTAACAAGATTTAACTGTAAAAATGTCTGACAAAGTCAATGTTATTAAAAGCGTACTTTTTGTAGCCCTACTTCAGACTGTAAAGTCTTAAGCAATCTTACTGAACACCATAAGTTAAACTGTTTAAAGTTAACACAGCTTAAACTCACTAACTACTACTAAACTACTTAACTTAGTTTAACTAGCATAATTTAATTAACTGGGAATGAAGTGATGAACTATGAACAACTCACCGGTTTCTTGTAAATCCAATGCAGGGCTGAATCCCCACCAATTAATGCTGCCATAAAATGTCGTCATTTCTGCAAGTGTTAATTTTCAGAGTAAGTGTACCCTCTTTAATTTAATAATAATGTGTTAACTTTACATAAAAGTATACAGCGCACTCTTTGGCTTTTTCTGGAATGTCTCGTCTAAGCGCCATATGTAAACACAGTAGCCCTGCACAAAATCATCTATGATACCACTCAACCTTGAGATTTTGGTATTTTATTCTTTTCCATAAATTCAAGGGTAAACATTATTAGGAAAATCACCTATTATTTGTTCAATACATCATTAAATAAACTGTTATTTGCCTTAACTTTTGTATATTTTAAAACTGTAAATATTTAAATAATTATTTAAATTCTTTTATTCACTGTGTTATCAAAACATGTCTGCGCCCATGGTAATGAACTCGGGAGCTTTCTAAAGGATTTTTTCGACAAAAAAGCTGCCATTCTTAAAATATTGAAATTTTTAATGAAGGCTATGAATTGAATTCGTCGACTTTGACTACGACTATTTTTGAGTAGACAAAATTGTTTAGTATAGTCGATAAACTGTTGTAAATCCCATTTGAGTCAAATTTTGAAGGCCTACACTACACTACACACGTCTGAATTGTTTGTAGTAATAGTAGGAGGCTGTTACTAAGTGTTACTGTTTAAGTTAAGTTTTAGTTTTAGGCTACCACAGTTTGTTACTGATCTGTTGTTTATTATCAGGCCTAGTTCAGTTAGATTTGGATTTGGAAGCTGATTGATCCCATTCGAATTGTAAATAAACAAAACATAAAAATAATGCCTACTAATCCCTTAAAAATGTAAGTACAAACAAATTAAAATGAAAAGCCTGCTTTTAGTTAATCCTACTTAATCATAAGTTAATCAGGGGTTGGGTAAATGTTGATTTGGCATGCCACTCATTTCCCATGGCTGCCATCTTAGTTGCCATGATGATGATGGCAACTGTAATGACAACCAGGATGACTGTCATGTAAAAAAAAAAAGTAGTGCAAACACACGACTGCTAAAGTGGAGAGGGGAAAGAGAGAGCATGTGCTACCTGTACTTACTTACAGAGAGAAATCAAAATAGGAACAAAATATTGAAATTTTATGAAATAATTTCAGCAGGAACATAATTTTTGTATCGAACATGCAGCAAGGAGTGTCAACAACCAGCGGCCACCTCTTTTCCTGGTGTAATTTCATCTTATACATTAATTTTGTGGCGAACTAGCAACTATATTGTATTCCTCTAGATATGTGGCAAGAAGTGTCAATGACCTGCGGTCCCTCCCTTACCTCAACTAAAACATGTGTGCTGCAGTTACATGCTGTATGTGGTAAAAAATGAGTAGAAATGAAGAAAAACACTACAAAATATTTTTAAATAAAAAAATAACGAAAACCCAAATTACAGTTTCATAGAATACTACACTTTTACACACTTTATTGCAGGTACCACCAAAAAGAAAATTCAAAAGTTTTCAGAAAAATCCATACAATACAATACTATACCCATTTTCCTAAATGCCGGAAAATGTAAATATTATAATTAACCACCCAATTAAATTATAATTTAAAACATTCCATTGGCTGTATTAATATTTTGTTGTAAAAAAAAGTTAACTCTAGTAACAATCAAAGAATAAATTAAATGGAGAGAATTCTACACAGAAACTCAAAGTGGCGTGTGGAATGAGGGTTCTTAACTTGTGGCTTGGTCCACCGCGGAATCCATGGGCCACTTGGGCATCCTTTAAAAGTTGTTATAGGGTCTGTGAGCTGCATTTCCTTTGATATTCTATTATAAAATGCATTTAAAAAATCAAATCGATTGAACAAATAAGGTTGAGAACCTATTGGTGGTCGGAATGATTTTGGTAGTATAGGCGGAGTACAGTCTATAGTATAGATAGAAATACGTCAACTTTAAAATGACTTATGAAAGCCTAAACTTGACCTTCTATAATAAGCTATTATAAAATTATTCATTTTAATGAAAGAAGTTTGAATTGTGATTATTGCCCTTGATTGTTTTACATAATTATTAAATTGCCAAGGGCTAGTAAAACTAATTTACCTAATCTGTTTCTTGAGAAAACACAAAATTATTTCAATTTTTATTTTCTTCTATCAGACTTGTAACTGGGGATGTTGAAGGAAATTTTGACCAACTCTTTAAAAGGGTTCAAACCATTCATAAAAAGAGTGGTAATTTTGATGTAAGCAGTTTCTTTCCATTCTAACCATTTTAATTATATCATAATTCCTATTAACTTTTAAAATCTGTTCTTTAAAAAATATGCAATAGCAATGACTCTGTACAAAACATGCTAACACACTTCACAATCAAGACCAGGATTAACAACCCACATTAAAAGTTCACAAGAATCACACTTCATGTTTTAATAAGATTCATGGTTTACAGTCCTTTTTAAATGTAAACATTTTTGCACCTGTTAAGTATATGAAATATACTTTTTTTTCATTCAGCTTCTGTTGTGCGTTGGTGATTTTTTTGGACCCAATTTGTCTTCATGGGAGCCTTATAAAACAGGAAAACTCAAAGGTTTGGAATTTATTTTAAAAATAATGATTGTCCACAAAGACAAGAACTTAACTAAAAGTTTGTTAATGAGTAATGTTATTGATTCAAAATATTGTTTTAGCAGTTTGTTACAAGATAAAGCTTTCAAAAATGATTTTTAACTATGTCTTCTAGTTCCACTATCCACCCTTATTCTTGGACCAACAAAGCCAGAGCTTGCTATATATTACAGTGGAGATGAAGGATCAGAACTTTGTGAAGGTGTTACTTTCCTTGGTAAAAGACAACATTTTATACAGTTAAAAAACATAGGCTAACTAAAAAATTTGAAAAATATTTTGTTAAAGTCATAATGGTTTTGTTAATTTTTTTTTTAAATGTTATTTTTTTTTCTTTTTTAATTCTCATCATAGTGAAAGAGATGAATGGTAACTCTCTTTAAAATTGTTCATTTTCATGTAAAAAATTTTGGTGAGCTTAATACAGGTTAATTGAAACTGAAAATTAACATAGGCTAACTAAAAATTTTGAAAAATATTTTGTTAAAGTCATAATGGTTTTGTTAATTTTTTTTTTAAATGTTATTTTTTTTTCTTTTTTAATTCTCATCATAGTGAAAGAGATGAATGGTAACTCTCTTTAAAATTGTTCATTTTCATGTAAAAATTTTTGGTGAGCTTAATACAGGTTAATTGAAACTGAAAATTAACTTAATAAAAGTTAGAACTCCAACCAAATAATTTGATGAAAATCCAAAATGAATGTAAAACATTTTGCAAAGTTCCATCATGATTTCTTCTATGGTTTGCAGTATATCTCCAAATGATTGACAAATCTAAATGAATCACTAATTAAATCAATATTGTTCCTAAAAAAAATTATTATTTTTTTAATTTACATATGATGCTGATTTTTACACTAGAGAAATACTTAAGTTGTCTTTTGTTTAAATTGTTCTAATCGTAAAATATTTTCTTGGCTTTTATTTATGGGCTGAAAATGAAGTACAATGTACAATGTATGTAGAAAAAAAATTTAGATTTATTTTGACGAATAAAAGAATCTTATATTATACCCCAAATGCATATACCAATGTTTTTTTGTTGTTTTTTTCTTTTATCATGTTATTTGTTTCATCAGGCAGACAGGGCAGATTTACTGGATCCTCTGGTCTCCAGTTAGCTTACCTCAGTGGAGTTGAAAGTTCTTCTGGCAAGGGAGATGACTGCACATTCACTAGTCAGGATGCCAACACATTGATCGCCCCTGTTAAAAATGATACTGGTTTCAAAGGCATTGACATTTTGATAACTTCACAGTGGCCTAAAGATGTGGAAAAATATGGCTCATCAGCTGTAAAATCCTTTTTTTTTTTTAGTGCCTAAATTTGTTTAAAAATATTTGGCTATAATAATATCAATATGCTTTGTCTGAAATATGTGATGAGTAAAGTTATTTCCAAATTTTATATTTTAAATTATTAAAAGAAATTTAAAAAATTGTTTTTATTACATCACTAAGATAATGTATTTTTCAGCCAGGGCATGAACCTAAATTTCCAGGATCAGGTTGCATAGCAGAGGTAGCTAGAGTGCTGCGTCCCCGTNAGATGAATGGTAACTCTCTTTAAAATTGTTCATTTTCATGTAAAAATTTTTGGTGAGCTTAATACAGGTTAATTGAAACTGAAAATTAACTTAATAAAAGTTAGAACTCCAACCAAATAATTTGATGTTGCGCAAAAAAAAACACCAAAGTGTCTTGTGGGCCTGATTTTATTTTATTATGCGGGCCGGATCTGGTCCATTTGTTAAAGACAAAGTAGTAATCAATTGCCAGCAATATTTTATTTACCGTATCAACTTTGTTAAGAAGAAATTTAGGATAAGGATAAGATATATAATTTTGTAATAAGGCTATCACTCTTTTCATATCTTCGTTAAAAAAATTAAATTAAAAAAAGCAACAAACAAATGAAGAAGTACAAAACAACCCAATCAAACTTAAACATTCATTTCGTTTATTATTATTAAGAGATGATTCCAAATATTTATAAGTTATAAAGCTAATTAAGAAAAATAACGAACAATGAAATAAGTATGGGCTATTAATGACTGAATGCGAAAAAAAAGGAAATGAAAATCAACTATAACAGAATATAGGGTGACAACAATAACAATAATGGTCTCCATTAAAAAAAAAGCATTTGAAAAGTTTTGTCCACTATTTACATTCAAGATTTTAATTTTAAAATACTTTTCCAAACATAGATTTAGATCTAATATTAAAAATATTACAGTTCTGAATAAAATTTAATGTGACTAGCTATTTCTTTGACATGTAAAATGTCAAGCAAAACTTAGTAAAAACACCAATAGCAGACTTAAAGAGCAGATTTTGACAAGAATCATGTTAATAAAATGTTAGCTTTTTTTACATTTTTTTATATCTCATTTAATTTCACTGTAGTTTTTTTTTTTTGTTAATACAGATTGCAAATTAAATAGTTAAATACAATATAAGTTATTTATAGCTATGGAATGTGTTTGAAAATTAAAAAAATAGTTTTTCTAAGGATGCTGACTGTACATAAAAGTAAAAGAACAGCAACGTTTATGCATAATAAATGAAATAAATAGTTTCTTTAATGCACACTTTTTTGTTGTTTGCCTTTCAAGCAAGGAATGTCTTTGCAATTAAAACAAGAAAAATATGGAAATATTATTAATTGATTTGGTGTACAGCTAAAATTATTAGTAAAAATTAGATTAGGAATGTTAAAGAATTTTTTTCCCGAATGTTTTACAAAGAAAAATTCTTTTTAATTGAAATATTTTTATGTTTTTCCCCCACAGGCTATTATACTTCTCAGCTATGTTTGTAAATCTATAAAAAAATATTGTTTTAATTTTTAAATCTCTGACAGCCTCGATTTCAAATAAATCCTTCAAAATTCTATAATTTTACTTTTCAAGATTCAGAGAAAAATTTGACTGATGATGTGTGATTATACAATAGTAAATTATTACAAAAGTTTGAGAAAAAATACTGACTTTTAAAAATATGAATGAATGATAAATAATACTTGTGTCTATTTTATATGAGAAATAATTACTTGAAAATACAAGAAAGAACTGATGATTTATGAAAAGCAAATGGATCAAGAAAGCATGCACTTAGAGCCATTATTTTATGTGCCTTGTATCCTCTGAGAGTGACTTGACAATAGGAACAACATAAGATGCCTGGAGGCAGTCAATTTTGGTAATGTATGTGAAATTGATGAGCAATCAAACAACAGAGGTTTTATAGAATCACAATTTCAATGGTTCTAATGTGTAATAATTTCTGAAAAAAACTTATTTTATAAAATGTTCCATTAGAAAAATGAATGGGATACTCACTATTTTCGAGTAAAAGTTGAAAACAAGAACTTTTTTTCCTCCAAAAAATAAAAAAATTGTTTGGAAAAATGTTGTTTTGTCATTCATTAGCTAACAGTTTCCAAATCTTTTTGAGTCATTGCACTCGTGCTGCGTCAAGGTTTTCTCAAGGTGCCATATGTAAAATTCTTACAAAGGGCACTATTTAGGAATCTCTGCCCCAGAGCCATCATGCGGGCCCTGCAACCCCTGAGGCTGCTGGGGGGCCTTGGATATTTCATGAAAATAAAGTTTTTATAAGGAAAGAAAATAACATTATCAATTTTGAATGCAAGGGGCACAAAACCAAAAAGTGGCAAGGGGTCTTCAAATGTCACATGACAGCTCTGCCCTGCCCTGTCCTATTTGATAATGTATGTAACGTATAAAATAGTTTGCACATTATTTTTGAGTTGTAAACTTTATGGATACTATTTTTTTTATTAATGTAGAATTCAAGTAATTAACATGCATATGGACATCAGAGTTAACAAACTGGAAATAATAATTTTTTTTCTTCAATGTTTAATTTAACAATATATTCTGTACTTTGGTTACAGATTCAATTTTTACTATTTGGATTTGAAATTCAAAATAGTTTTAAAAAAAAAATTGTTAGTAGATTTCTAGAGTTTAAATAATTTTTATGTAAAGATTATAATGATTATAAAATTACTCATTATTGCCTCCTTTGTTACAGGTGTTCAGGGATCAAAGAAATCTATCTTTGAAATCACAAACACAAAAATTATCAACATCAAGTTTTGTGCTGTCTTTGTTCCAGAACTCAGAGCTGTAATCTCTGTGAAATATAAATATGGAGCAGTTTATTAAAATATCTATAAAATGTCATGGGTTTTAAGAAGAAAAAAAGGACACTTGAGAAATTTATTTTTTTAAATGATTATCATTGTCAATTTAATATTTTTAATAAGAATAAACAGAACAAGTTAAATTCAATTTTGTTTTAAACTTCTAAAACCTGAAAAAATGCACTGAAATTAAAATAGCAATATAAATTATATTTTTATGGCAATAATATATTTTTTAAATTTGTTTTAACCCACCACATTGAGATATCTGCAGTCTGCTTTTTTCTGCCTCTGTGATCCCTTTCAGCTGAAATGATGAATATTCATATCAAAAAACATTATTTGAAATAAGTAAATAACACATAAGGTGGCATCGCAAAATAAATACTTGCTTTAATTAGTAGCAGAAATGTACCCATAGTTATTGCAGTGACTTTTTAGATGTTTTCTCCATTCATTTACTATTCTGGGGCTCAACTTATTGGAATAAGCTAATGTTTTTGATTATCCAAAGTTGATATATTTTTTAGAAATACTGTTAGTAGTTGAAAATTACATTTTTTGCTAAGAACTAAGAAGTAAAGCCACATTTATTTATCCAATTTTAAAAGACTTACAAATTTTTATCTTTCAAATGATAAAACTTATGAGGCTAATTTCAGGAATGATGTATGCTGCATGGATTTAATTATTAATTTAAAGATCGTTGAATGATGTGTACATCAGAGATGGTTAGAAGAACACATTTAATGTACAAGATAAATAATGGGCTGGTCCACTGTTCCAGTATTAAACAGAAACTCGTCCCTCTCCCCCATAGACAGCGACGAGGCCATGACAGGCAATTCAGGCTCATACCAGCAAGAAGCCAGTATAGGAGCTGCTCATTCCTGCCCAAGACAATCAGGGACTGGAACCATCTTTCAAAAGGAACAGTTGAGGCGACAACACTAGACACATTTGTGTCTATTGCCTCAAGCCTTCAAACCCCTAGTGCATAATTTCCTCATCACCACCAGTAACAGAAACATTGCAAATCCCATCTACATGCATAGGAGCCAAAATGATCAATAAATTGATCGTGGGCCCTTAAGATATAGAAGAAGAAGAGAAGAAGAAATGGTGTAGACAACATTTGCACCCGCTACCAGAATGTGTATTTAGGTGATACTGGGACACTGTCATTCTGAAAGATGTGTTGAACACCTCCATCGTATTTCATAAGATGATCAGTGTCCCATCTCAAAACACTTCAGAGAAGTGACAACAAGGGCTCAGGGGATTTTGCTATCATCGCCATTGCACATTGTCAAAACACACCAAACCGGGTGAACTTGGAAAATAAACTGATTCAGACTTATGGAAGCTTGAAACCATATAACATGAATATCATGTTCTCATGCACTTGATAAACCTTTTTATGCCTTCTCTTTGTTATCACCAATTGCAGTGGACTTACTTTCCTCTCTTCCATCCTATTTTGCCTGTATCAAATCTCTCACCTGACCTACTTATGCTCTGTCACATTCCTCCTGTTGTCCTCTACTACTTTGCAGCAAAGTGTTTATTTTTATTTTGTATTGTTTTTACTATTGTTTGTTGGCAGAGGAAAGCTCATGCCAGCATGTTCATTGCTTTTTTACGTCATTTTTTTCAGGTTTTCCCATAATTTGCTCCACTCATTTCCTCCTGTGATATTATGACTGGCAAATCTTAAAAACATATTTTTCTTAACTAGAACGATTCTTTATTTTTTTTTATTGGTAAGACTGTGCCAGTAATACAAAACCTTTGACATTTAAATTAATATATTTAAATCTTTTTAAGCGCTACTGAAGTCTACATCTTTTTATACAAGTCACGAAATACAAAAGCTAATATGTAATAGCTTTTTAAAATCCTTTATATTAAATTTGCTTTTGTTCGTGTGTTTCTTTTTGGGTTTGTGGCAAAATCTTCATAAATCTAATTGACCCACTTCCCATCTACCTATCCGGCTGACATAGAGTCATTGTAAATGGTAATACTTTCTTTCAAATTTTCAGCCCCCCACCACAACTGCCAAAAATCCGTTTTAACTCTTCCAGATGGCACTGATTTCATGAAATAAAATTCCTGATTATTGCGCTAAATGAATTTCTTAAAAATAATGCAAATTTACTTTGTTTTACAGAAATAGTTGGCATAATAAATCTGCGGTTTAAAAGTGGGTGGGAATTTGAAAATTAATTTTGTTCAGGGACGTTAAAAAATATGCTGTTTTGAGCCTGGGGTGGGGGGAAGCACTAACTGGAATTCTTATAATGTGTGTTACTTGAATGCATGTTTTGTCAAATTGTCAGCCCTACCTATCATTTCTCGATATAAAATTTCATAAAGAATTTATTTAAAAAGCT